TAATACAGTCTTTGCTGTGCTCTAGAGGATCCTTGTGATATTTCGAGCTCTGGTTGAATGATAAGTGTCGCAGTTTAAATAAATTTCGTAGTTGGCAATTATGAAACGCTCTGTTAAAAGCAAGGGAGTTTTTATGTCCGTTGCAGATTTTTTTAAACTGAACTTGTTTGAATTGACTGAGCTCCGTTCTGTACCACACAATGTCTATTTTTTTTTTGTGCTGTCCTTTGACAAAACAAGGCTCACCAGATATAATGATGTGTTCCCGCTTACACGTCGCACGACTTTAAAACCTAGAAAAACAGGTTTCGATTCACATTATCTGGTGAGCCTTGTTTTTTGTTTCTAAGGATCTTACTCAAAGTAATTAGAAATGATTTTATTCTGAAATGATCAGAATCATTACATTTAAACATGTGGTTTAAAACACAAGTGGCTTGTGTGATTTGCAAGGATTGGTTTGGAGTTAAAAATGTACTCTATTTTGCTTGATTTTCATTTGTAATTACTTTTCAGAAAGTTTGAGCATTTCTTTTTCACTTGGTGGTTCTGTGTTGCAATGGGTAAAAAAAAGGTAGAATACATTCTAATTTAATGTGTATATATTATAGTGGTAGTCCTGGTAGGAAAAGAAAACAAGTTTACCTAAAACTTTTATAACAGACTCAGAAATACAAACCCCAAGCACATAGAAATTATTTAATTTGGAATGCTCTTTACCTGCATTTTATGTACTTTTTTGCCAATGTTGGCATAGAGATAGATTTTCTAGACATTTTTCAGTGGTTAATACACATAATGTTGTGTTTATTACTCTCTAACTGTAACTAAATTTTAAAATGCGTATCCTTTTAGTTTTTAGCTGTTGCTTTCCTTGGCTTAACATTTAATTGTGGATGTGTTAGTACTGAAAGAAAGTCCTTATGAGTAAGGGTCTAAAATATTTATTAAATGCTAACAACAACCTAGTGTAGCTGTGTGAGCGGTGTGATGTTCGTACATACATATCAGCACCTAAAATTAGTACTACGTATTGCAAAGAAAAACGGGTATTACATTATCTTAATGTAAAATGAAATTATTATCTGTCACCATTACATCTCAGATGAAATGTAATAATGAAAATATCAAATTACATCCTTAATATTTATATTTTTATGCAAAATTAAAAAAATGAAAATTAGATTAGAAATCTTAAAAAGATGCAACATTAAACTTCTTGGTTCCTTTTTGAATTTTTTTTCCAGCATGTTCATATTCATCTGAACACCCTTTCCATTTGTAGCTGAATATACTGTATGTACAATGTGTATGTTATAATCTGTTCCTCTACTTCTTAGAACCTGTCATTCTTCCTGAACCCTCCCACTGCACGCTGGAGCCAGCTGGCCGAAGTTCTCAGCTGGCAGTTTTCTTCAGTCACCAAACGGGGTCTGAATTCTGAGCAGTTGAGCATGCTGGGAGATAAGCTGCTAGGTGAATAGCCATCTCTGTTATCAACAATAAGCATTCTCCATTGACTTACTAGTTTAAGTTAAGTTAACATAGTTTTCTAGAGTCAGGACCTGCACGCTTCATTTACCATTCATTTTTCACTAAGTGCATCTTCAATTAGCAAAGGAAAATGATAGTTTAAGAAATACAGTGCAGGAAATAATCATGGAAAATTGGTATATAATGCAAAATATAAATTTAAGATAGATTCAATGTTATATTGACCTTCAGTGTGATTGGTTGCATATCAGGGAGGTTGTGAGAAAGTGCCACATTGCCTCAAGATTTATGTAAGTATAGGCAGTAATACCATTATTGATTTTTAAAAATGTGGTGAAGACTATGTCTTCTAGGTAGGAAATCTCACAATTAATGAGCAAAGAAATCAAAATGTTTAGCTAATATAAGCTGTTCTTATTGACAGATTCATTACTCTCAGTGCAGACTTTGAGGGCATTTTATCAAATTGATACTGTTTACAATAAGATAAGTCAAAATAAATACAGTTTTAAAATGTATGTACTTCAGAGCAAATTATTTAGGTGACAGTCCAGTAGAGATTCAGAACATAACCTTTCTGTAAATACAAAAATAATAAAATTGTCTTAATGTGTGTGGTGCTTCCTTTCCTCAACAAAGATTTTTATTTTGGACATAATTATGGAAACAAAGGAAAACAGGGAATATAAATACAATTAGATTATTTCCAATACATTGTTAATTTTATTTCCACTGGATCCTTCTTCTGCAACTTGAATAAAAAAAATATTTTTGATATTAATTTTGAGGCATCTGTGATAGACATGTCGAAAGGATACAAAAGCGTATGTGGGTTGTTACTTTGATTTCTTAACGAGGAGAAATACAGGGCTAATAACAGTGATAATACAGTGTTAATAATAAGACTAGAATTCTTATTTTGATATATGTGATTTAATAAACAGGTCCTAATGCCAGTAACCCCGATGGCTTAATCCCCTGGACAAAGTTCTGCAAGGTTGGTAGCTTTCCGTATTGAGAAAAAATGCAAGTTAAAAAAATATGATTTCACTGTTTCACATTTAAATATTGCAAGTTGTTACTGTTTGTTTACATGTTGTAGAAAAGGAGTGACCTTAATAAAAAATAAACTGTAGTACATATCATATTAATGTCATGTCATATTTATCCAGTGATTATAGTGTTTTTTCCTTTTCTTCAAGGAGAATATAAATGATAAAAGCTTTGCTTTCTGGTTATGGATTGAAGGCATCCTAGAGCTTATTAAGAGACACCTGCTAGCATTGTGGAATGATGGGTAAGTTTATTAAAAATCAATCAGTAACTCCACCTCCTGAAAAGAAAACCTAAAGACTGAAGAATCAAGTGGTGAAATCTGATATGACCAATTAAGTTACAATAGTGGTACACTGTTTCAGACAAGGTGAATTTATTACCTGATGACGCATGTCTTTTGCAATAACTAATATTGCTCTCTAAATGACATGCGAGCACAATAACAGGAATATAGAATATAAGCACCAAATCATTGCTAATGATTAACTCTAGTTAACAGGGCCCCTTCATTTTGAAATATGATTCGATACTTCTTTGACTATTTAAATGCCATCCACATTGAACTAAGCCATAGTTCCCAACATATGGGGCACAAAGTACCTACAATGGGGTCAGAGGGTCTTGGCACCTTGTTGAGGGAACACGTTGTTAGACTTTACAGGTAGTGGAACATGTTAAGTTGATCCTAGCACCTTTTTGAGCAAAATTTGATACTGATACCTTACTGGTCTTTAAATTCGCTACATGGCCAATTAGCCTCATCCTATGTTCTTATCCTGAATGCAGTGCTTTACAATTTCCAAAAAGTTTTAATTTTGTATTGTCTTACCACAAAACCTTTTGCCATTTTGTATTATCATCTCCATGTGGAACTTGGGCTTTCCACACTGCCAGACTGCCAGAATTGTTGTCTGGCTAGGATATTAGGAACAAGTAATAGGTTTATTCCATGCTGAAAAAAAGAAGAAAGAAAACACAACATTGTGTTTTCTTTCTTCTTTTATTCAGCATGGAATAAACTTATTACTTGTTCCTTTGCAGCCTATGCATGCTGACGCAGCTACCCACCTGGCTAGGATATTGTTGGCTTATGCACAGTTTCATTATCCCATCTGAGCTATTGATAACTGCAGTTCTTTCAGTCATCATTGGTATCATGTTTGCGTCCCTAACCAGATTCCTCCTTTCCTGGCTGCTCAGTTCTAGGCAGTGTCAGGGTGATATGATACGTATTCCATTTCTAAGGGATTGACTTTAGTGTTAAAGTGGATATTCAGTGTTTCTTTCAGTGTTTTTTAATATTAAATAATTTTATAATTTTTTCTACAACTTTATCTCTGAGTTATCTCTGAAAGCTCTTTGGTTTAATGGTTAGATCAGTATTCACTTCAATTTATTTTTATATAGTGCTTTTCACAACAAGGTTGCCCCAAGGCGCTTAACAATGCAGGTAACCATACATTTTGTCAATACAGAACAGAAAAGACCAGAAACAACGGAGGAGAGGAATCAAAAACCCCTTAGTTATACATCCAGAAGTAAAGAATCTAGTTATATTTGCTGTGTCTTGTTTCCTTTTCTAGGTGCATCATGGGGTTTGTGAGTAAGGAAAGGGAACGAGCTTTGCTGAAGGATAAGAGCCCAGGCACGTTCCTTCTGAGATTCAGTGAAAGCAGCAGAGAGGGGGCCATCACCTTTACATGGGTTGAAAGGTCTCAGAATGGTGAGAAATTGATTAACTTTTAGCATGTTTAGATCAATTAAAATTGCTTTTACAAAACAAAGACATATAACATGGTAATTGTGTATTGCATACCAACACGCAATTGTACAAATCTTTATGATGGTGTTAGGAATTTTTCTATCATTTGCACAAATGACACAAAATAAAACCAAAAAAAAAAACTTCATGTAGTTTGCTTTAACAGCATATTTTATTTCATTAGCTCAAAGGCTAGAGATGCAGAAACAGTGCTTGATCATACTTTAGGGGTTCCAAAATCACACTACAGAAATTCATAATAAGCCAACTGGAACATAATGATGATAAGTTCTGTTTTTTTAACTTAGTTGTTAAACTAAAAATAGTTCTTAATCTTAGGTTTAAGTGGCAAATGTCTACTATTTATTTACAAATGAAGTGATCTTGCACTTTTATGCTATACAGCAGTATTAATTTAGCTCAGTGGTCTTGATTAAAGAAATTAAATATGATTACAGCATATGTTGTAGGAGATTCTACCATGATATCAACAAAGTGTTCTCTAAGCTTTGCTTTTGTGCTTGTAAATGTTTTTTTTTTTGAGCTGGAGTGATCTTTATATACACAGATGAGCCCCAGTTCCATGCAGTGGAACCCTACACCAAGAAGGAGCTGACTGCTGTCTCCTTCCCAGACATTGTTCGCAATTACAAAGTCATGGCAGCTGAAAACATCCCAGAAAACCCACTTCGATTTCTTTATCCAAATATTCCCAAGGATAGTGCATTTGGAAAATACTATTCCAGACCAGCAGAGAGTAAGTAGAGAATTGTTTCACAAAAAGTATTTTTGGTATTATTTGTGTTATTCATATGATATGTTTGTGCACTGTCGTACCTCTAGATTGTAGTCATACAGTATACCTTGTGCTTGGAGCAAAAATCATTAGGGCCTGATTTGTGTTAAGGCTTTTCCATATGTAGCCAATGCTTGTTAGAACCCTGTAATGCGTTTATTAAGTGATAGACAAAAAGCAGGGCAATGACTTTCTCTACAAGCTAGTCAAAAAAATAGGGTTTATTCTTATAATTATAATAGAGAATAACAAAACAGTATTAAAAAGACCACTGAAACTCAAAAAGACAGAAGCATTTTGAAATTATTAGCTGTTATTAATTAATTCATATTGTTAATAATTCTCAGATACAGTATTATAGCTCAGAGTCTTTTGTTTTCTCAGGTTTTCTTAACCTTCACTTATTAAAATGCATATTTATGTGACCACGGTTTTTCAGATGTCAATAACTTTGCTAAAAATGACAGAGCCTTCAAACCACAGGCATTTAAAAGATCGCGATTTGTGAAAATTGTCACGGCTTTTATTTAAACAATATTCAGCACCTGGTTGCATTTTTAGAAACCTTAGTTTGAATAAAGTGGATCCCAGTTGTAAGCGACTTCATAAGGCATCAGTTGAAGCCTTCTGAAGTCCCTCAAAAAGCATAAAAAAGTAACATAATTGTAAATGTAACTATGAAAGAGGAATGGCTTAAGCATTCCTTAAGCCGAACAGAATCCAAAAAACGTAGTGCCGTTTTCTCTGCTTTAAAGGTTCTCTCCTCATGGGAGAATTTTCACTTCGAACCTTTGGAAACCAACTAACACAAAGACACAAACTGAATAACACTACAAAATGTATTTGCAAGAATAGTGATTATAATCGTTTAAAAAACTTACTTGAAAGATCACAGTAACAGTGACATTAGTTACAGATGCAGCCATTCAAAATGCATGGGGTATTTCGGGGTACACCACGGTGGGCATGTTGCATCAAAACGCAGTATCACGCGGTGTAACACGTTATTTGACATCATACTGGAAAGTATCCGAATTTCACCTTGTAAAACCGCCAGGAGGAGCCAATAAAGCTTAACCTCTCATGT